TCCATGTGGGGCTGGGGGGGTCCTGGAGGGCGCTGACCCCCCCCCTCTGTGGGCACGCAGGGGGCGTTTGGGGCACTGCAGAAGATCTGTGAGGATTCCTCGGAGCTCCTGGACAGCGATGCGCTCAACCGGCCGCTCAACGTCATGATCCCCAAATTCCTGCAGTTCTTCAAGCACTGCAGCCCTAAAATCAGGTGTGAGAGCGGCAGATTTGGGAGAAAAAAAACTCAAAATTGGGTTTGGAGGGGCTGGGGGGGACGGGACAGGACTTGGCTCCAGCTGGGGACATGATAAGGGTTAGAGATAAGGGTGCTGTGGGGAGGTTTAATGTGTTGGAATGGGAGGTGCTGCTTTCACGCCCCCACTACCAGGTTTGGTTCACTTTTCTCCCCATTCTTAGATGGACCCAGGCTGAGCAGCCCCCCCTCGTTGTATCCTTGTCCCCTCCCATGCTCTGTGCCCCCAAACCCCACTGGGACCCACTTGATTCCCCCCATTTCCCCCCCTATAACACTCTGGGATTTGGGGTCTCTCCATCCCAGGAGAACACAAGAAATGAGCATTTGGGGTTTGGGGGTGCAACGGGGAGCCCCTCCCAGTTCTCCTTCATTAGTTAATGAGTCCATAACAATCCGTGCCCCTCCCTTTCCCCCCCCCACCTCCAACCAGGTCCCATGCCATCGCCTGCGTCAATCAGTTCATCATGGACCGCGCTCAGGCGCTGATGGAGAACATCGACACCTTCATTGAGGTGGGGGTGGGGAAAACTGGGCTGGGGAGGGTACAGTGGGCCGGGGGAGGGGATGCTGTGTTCAATTTGCCCCCTCCCACCACAGCACCTCTTTGCTCTGGCTGTGGATGAGGACCCCGAAGTGAGGAAGAACGTCTGCCGAGCTCTGGTGATGCTCCTGGAGGTCCGCATCGACCGCCTCATCCCCCACATGCACAGCATCATCCAGGTGGGTGACAAGAGGGGGGGGTTTTGGGGAGGGTGTAGGTGGTGGGGGGGGAGGGGGGCAGCTCTGGGGGCTGAAATTTCCCTCTCCCCCCCCCTCCAGTATATGCTGCAGCGGACGCAGGACAGCGATGAGAACGTGGCCTTGGAGGCGTGCGAGTTCTGGCTGACGCTGGCAGAGCAGCCCATCTGCAAGGAGGTGCTGACGTCCCATCTGGTGCAGTGAGTGTGTGAGGGGGGGTCCTATCCCCCTGAACCCCCTCCCCCCCTCCCCAGAGACCCCCAGAGCCCCTCAGCACTTCGTTTCGCCCCCCCGTCCCCCTCCCCTCCACCACCTGCAGGCTCATCCCCATCCTGGTGAACGGCATGAAGTACTCCGAGATCGACATCATCCTCCTTAAGGTGAGGGGTGTGGGGTTGGGAGGGAGGGGTAGGGGCAGTCCCCCAGCCCAGTGCTGGGACTTACAGCCCCCCCATGCTGCTACTGGTTTAACTGGGAGCACTGGGAGCTGTGTGGACGTCCCGGAGGTGATGACAGACCCACAGCTGATGGCAGTGATGGCTGTTGTGTTCGTACTGCCTGATCCGGGGGTCCCCCCACTGCCACAGCGCCGTCCCCACAAGGACCCCATGTCCCCCAAATATCCCCCCAGTGGCCCCATGGTGGCCCAGTAACCCCACAATAACCCCATGTCCCCCAAATATCCCTCAAATATCCTCTCTTATGCCCCCACAATGGCCCTGTGACAGCCCTACATCCCTCCTGACGACCTTATGCCCCCATAATGACCCCATGTCAGCCCCATGTCCCCGTAGCATCTCCCCTGGCATCCCCCCTTTATGCCCCTACAGTGGCCCTATGACCATCCGACATCCTTCCTGAGGACCTTACGTCCCCATAGTGACCCCACAACAACCCATGTCCCCCAAATATCCCCCTAAGGTGGCTCAGTAGCCGCATAGCAACTCCTTATCCCCCAAACATCCCCTCGGTATCCCCCCTTTTCCCCCCACAATGGCTCTGTGACAGCCCTACATCCCTCCTAATGACTTCTCCCGCCCCCCAACCCACCATGGGGCTGACCCCCACTTTCCCCCCCCCCACCCAGGGTGACGTGGAGGAGGACGAGGCCATCCCTGACAGCGAGCAGGACATCAAACCACGCTTCCACAAATCCCGCACGGTGACTCTGCAGCACGAGGAGGAGCGGCCGCCCGACCCCGAGGATGGGGAGGACGAGGACGACGACGACACTTTGTCCGACTGGAACCTCAGTATGGGGGGGGGCTGCTGTCCGTCTGTCCTCACCAGGGTGTCCGTCTGACCCCAATCTCCCTGCCCTTTGGGGGTGTCGGTCCGTCCCCCACCCCGTGGTGGCGGATGGGGGATGTTGAAGGGGATGGGGTGTCATTTTGGGGCGTCCATCCGTCCCCACAGCCTTTGCTGGTGGCACTTGGAGGGGATGAGGGATGAGAACAAAGAGAGAAACCCCAAAGCCTTCGTCGTGTTCGTACCCACAAACCCTCCTCTGATGGCGCAGTGGGGTGTGAAGATGGCGAGGGAGTCCTTGGGGTGCCATTATCAGGTGTTAATTAGTGGGGTGATTGCTGTCCCCATAGGGAAGTGCTCGGCGGCCGCCCTGGATGTTTTGGCCAACGTCTTTCGGGAAGAGCTGCTGCCCCACCTGCTGCCCCTGCTGAAGGAGCTGCTGTTCCACCCCGAATGGGTCATCAAGGAGTCGGGCATTTTGGTGCTGGGCGCCATTGCTGAAGGTCGGAAGGGTCTCTCAGCCCCAAACTCCCCCCTAAACTACCCCCATAGGGCAGGGCTCTCACCCTGCTGTGCCCCCAGGCTGCATGCAGGGCATGGTGCCCTACCTACCGGAGCTGATCCCACACCTGATCCGCTGCCTGGCTGACAAGAAGGCCTTGGTTCGCTCCATCGCCTGCTGGACGCTGAGCCGCTACGCGCACTGGGTTGTGGGGCAGCCCCCCGACCTCTACCTGAAGCCCCTCATGACTGAGCTGCTCAAACGTATCCTGGACAGCAACAAAAGGGTGCAGGAGGCGGCCTGCAGGTGAACCCCGGGGACCCCGAATCCCCCCCAACCCCCTTTTTTATTTCTTTGGGGGGGAGGAGAGGGGGGTGATGACAGTTTGTGATGCATTGAGTTCGCTGTGATGCTGCTGTATTCGTACTGTCTGACCCCAACATCCCCACAACGACCCCATGTCCCCCAAATACCCCCCCTTTATGCCCCCACAATGGCCCTGTGACTGCCCTACATCCCTCTTAATGACCTTATGTCTCCACAGTGACCCCACAGCAACCCTGTGTCCCCCAAATATCCCCTCCCAGTGACCTCATGGTGCCTCATTAACACCACGACAACCCCATGTCCCCCAAATACCCCCCTGCCATCCCCCTTTATGCCCTCCAATGGCCCCATGACAGCCTTACATCCTTCTTAATGACCTTATGTCCCCATAGTGACCCCATGACAGCCCCACGTCGTTCTCACATTCCCCCTAATGACCCCCTGACAGTCCTCTGATCCCCCAATGACCCCACGATGGCCCCATGTCCCCCCCAGCGACCCTCTAACAACCCCACATCCCTCTCCACGACCCCACGATGGCCCCACATCACCCCTAGGGGGCAACCATCTCAGCCTTATGGGGCCACTGACTCTGCCCCCCATATCCCAGCGCCTTCGCCACGCTGGAGGAAGAGGCGTGCACCGAGCTGGTGCCATATCTCAGCTTCATCCTGGACACGTTGGTGTTTGCCTTTGGGAAATACCAGCACAAGAATCTGCTCATCCTCTACGATGCCATCGGGACTTTGGCCGACTCTGTGGGGCATCACCTCAACCAGCCGGTATGCTGTGGGGGTTTGGTCTTTTTTTGGCCCTTTTTTGGTCCTTTTCTGCCCCATTTTTATTGCCTGGGATCAATGATGATATTGTACAACAGACATTCGAATCCTGAACTGCTGTGTGGATCCCGATGGTCTGATGGTCCCTGGGCTGAGTGGGGAGCAACCCCATATCTCCCCTGCCCCCAGTATCTCTCCTAATAACCCCTGGTGGTTTTATGTCCCCCACGAAGGCCCCATGTCTCCCCAGTGACCCTGTGTGACCCCTCCAATGACTTTGTGATAACCCCATGTCCCATCTCATGACCCCACAATTGCCCTCTGTGTCCCCACTGACCCCATGACAACCCCACGTCCTCCTTAATGACCCCATGACTGCTCTGGGTGCCCCTTCATGACCCCATGACAACCCCACGTCCCCATTTTGTCCCTCCTGAAGACCCCACAATGTTTCTGTGCTCCCCATAATGACTCCATCATGGCCCCATACCTCTGTAACAGTGCCACCCCCACCCCATTTGTTGTCCTCTCCCTTCCCCACCCCAGGAGTACATCCAGAAGCTGATGCCCCCCCTTATCCAGAAATGGAACGAGCTGAAAGATGAGGACAAGGATCTCTTCCCGCTGCTGGAGGTGCGCTGCAGTGGGGGGAGGATGCAGGCCAGACCCCCCCCAACGCCAGGAAATGCCCCCACCCCACACACAGTGCCTCCCTTTCCCCCTTAGTGCCTCTCCTCCGTGGCCACAGCCCTGCAGAGCGGCTTCCTGCCCTACTGTGAGCCCGTCTACCAGCGCTGCGTCACGTTGGTGCAGAAGACATTGGCTCAGGCCATGGTGAGAGGCAGCCCCGTGCTCCTGGGGTGGGTTGTTTGGGATTTTGGGGAAAGGAGGGGGGGTGACAGGCTGCTGTTCCCCCTCAGATGTACAACCAGCACCCTGATCAGTACGAGGCACCCGATAAGGACTTCATGATCGTGGCACTGGATCTGCTGAGCGGGCTGGCAGAGGGGCTGGGCTGCCACGTGGAGCAGTTGGTGGCCCGCAGCAACATCATGACGCTGCTCTTCCAGTGCATGCAGGTGAGGGGGCGGGAGGGGGGGGGCAGCCCTTGAGACCCCCACCCTGAATTTAGGACCACATCCTCATGGGGAATACGATGTCCCAATGCAGGACACCATGCCTGAGGTACGGCAGAGCTCCTTTGCCCTTCTTGGAGATCTCACCAAAGCCTGCTTCGTGCACGTCAAACCCTGCATCGGTGCGTAGCGGGGCTGGGGGGGGGAGGGCCAGGTCTTAGAAACCCCCCCATGAAAGAATGGGGACACCGTCAAAAAAAATGCGGTGGGGGGAACCCAACCTTAACCCTGCATCCCCCCAGCTGAGTTCATGCCCATCCTGGGTACCAACCTCAATCCCGAGTTCATCTCCGTCTGCAACAACGCTACGTGGGCCATTGGGGAGATCTGCATGCAGATGGGTGAGTGCCCCCTCCTGGACCCCCACCCCCAGGACTTCTTCCCCCCTGCTTCCTAAACCTGACCCCCCCCCCCCCCTCCTCACCCCCCTTTTTGGCAGGGGCGGAGATGCAGCCCTACGTCCAGATGGTGCTGAACAATCTGGTGGAGATCATCAACCGCCCCAACACCCCCAAAACGCTGCTGGAGAACACAGGTGAGGGGCTGGGGGGGGGCAGAGGGGGGTGGAGGGTTAATTTGGGTAAGGGGGGGGAGGAGGAAGGTTGCCATGTCCCAGAGCTGTTTCCAAAACTTTCCCACCCCCCTTCATCCAACAGCCATCACCATCGGGCGTTTGGGCTTCGTCTGCCCGCAGGAGGTGGCCCCGATGCTGCAGCAGTTCATCCGCCCCTGGTGAGTATTATGGGGTGTGTGTGTGTGCAGGGGGGGGGTTATGGCTCCTCCCCGTGTTCCCCGGTGAGGTCTGACCCCCCCCCTCCCACCCCCCAGGTGCACCTCCCTGCGCAACATCCGTGACAACGAGGAGAAGGACTCTGCGTTCCGTGGGATCTGTGTGATGATCGGGGTGAACCCCGGCGGTGTCGTGCAGGTTTGGGGGGAGGGGGCTTCCATTATTTCACCTCATTTCCCCTCCTCC